CTCCCAGTGCAGCTGCTTTTGCAGCCGCACGACTTGGTATAAGGGGTGATTTACAGATGCCTTTTGAGCGTTTGGGGCTCACATAGTACGTACCTGGTACTTGAAAAGCTCTTGGCTCAGCACGCAGACAGCCATACTTACGCGGGCTTGCTGCAAAAGACCCAAAGCCAAAATTTTGAACCCTTAACCGTATAACCTACGTGTACAGTAAAATTATTCCCCTGAAGTACACGGTTCCCTAGTTTGAGGCTTAGTGTCTATGTCCTGTGGGCGATGGGCATCACACAATACCCGTGTCAAAGACACCTCTGCGCGGTGGGCGGTAAACACGGTCATATTCGCTCAGGGCTGTGGCTATACGTTGCACCTTACGCTTTAGAAGGCTAGGATTTCCGACTCTCGTTAACGTTATGGTGTACCTTTGCGTAAGTGTTGAGTCTGTGTAGCTCGACCTGGGTGGCGAGCCAGTCGCACATGTGGTCGAGGTCTGCTGCAGTGCCTGCACCAGCGGCGTAGATGTTGCTGCTAATTTTGTGGAGTTTGTTGCAATTCTTATCCGCAACAAGGGGTCCCTCGGTTGCTCTTGTGTCGGCCCCCAGCACCACCCCGTCCTGAAATATGACACCACATATGGTCGTGCCTGTCTTGCGCAGAGGAGGCATGCGAAAGCTCCCTGCTGCTGCAGCGGAAGGAACGCCGGTCGACGACGAAGCAGAAGAGCTGGCGGCAGCAGAGCGCAGTAGCAAGGATACATTCCGGCAGTGGTTGCTGAAGTCAAACCCTCCTAATTGGCGTTGCAGCTGTTCCACAGAACCCATTTTGAATGTTCACTTTCTTTCTGCTGCGGTATACTCGTGTGGCTTTTGCTGTCGCTCTTGTCAAAGTTGTCGCTGTCGAGCTACGGTGTGTGCAGGCCTTGACACCAGAAAGCCCGTCATCGACAGTTTAGTGAAACTTAATTTGTTCAGTCAGCGCTAAGTACATAGAACAGGCATTTGGTGTTCCTCAACAGCAGCAGCGCCAACTGCAGCAGCAGCTGCAGCAGCAGCAGACAGCAGCCCCTCCCACCCCCACGGCCTAGGCCCCAGTACCCAGGGGCCCCCGCTTTCGGACCAATCTTCGCATTAAGGGTTCTATGGCTCAAGAATTAAATTATTTAGTCCTTTCACAACTTTTTGTTCTATACAGGGGTACATGAGGGCTAATGTCTTCTACCTGCACCGGAGTTTCACTGTTAAGCGTGTCGGGCTGAAAGTTTGACGCGCCTATATCGCGAAGAAATAATTAGAGCGATAGGGTGCGAATCCCCTTCCATCCCAGATCCATAGACTCAGAGTCTGGAGCTGAGAGGTTGGGATTTAGGTTTTAGAGTTTAAGGCTCCGTGGGACATCGCCGGTGGGCGCGAGGTTTACCGACATCCTGTCGGCGCCATCTTCTGCCGCCACAGCTCACACGGCAGAAGCAGCAACAGCAGCAAAGGGGAATCCTGTGCTGCGGCTGGAGTGCAGTATCATGGGAAAGTCTTGTGATGTAAACCTCAGTGGCAACAGGAACGGCAACAGCAGTAGCAACAGCAACAGCAGCAGCGACAGCAGCAGCAACAGCAAAGTTACCAAGGGCAGCAGCAACAACAACTGCAGCACAGGATGCCCAACAAGCGATGCTGCACTGCCAGCGGCAACCACCCGTGGTCCATCCGAGGAAGAAGGAGCAGCGGCAAGTACTGCTGCTGCCCACCGAAATGCCGCTGCAGCTGCGACAGCGACAACAACTACGGCAAGTCCAGCAGAGACACAACACAAGGAGCAACAGCAGCAGCCGCAGAAGCTTTCGGGTGCAGTCCCGCCTTCTTGCGTACACGGAATAATGCCACGCGATGGTGTATCAAATGGTTCAGTGGGCCCGCCGGGCGCTCATGACAGGCCGGACGATGACGCCGCGCCTGGGTCCCAGTCTGCTGCTGCTGCTGCTGCAGCTAGCAGCAAAAGCAGCAGCAGCAGCAGCAGCGTTTTGGGCTCTCTGTTTGCTATGCGCCTGCCTCACTCGGATGGACCTGCGGCTGCAGAAATGGAGGCAGCGTTACTGTCATCTGACGGGGGTCCTGCAACCTCTGAAGGCGTAATATGTTCTTCTTTGGCAAAAGCAGAAACAGAGGCAGAAGCAACACCGGAACCATCACCTCCGCTAAGAAGTTCGGGGTCAACTTCCCAGCGTGCCAGCCGGCAAGTTGGCTTCGCCAGACTCAGGACCTTCGACAAAATTAATGAGGTTCGTTTTTTCGGCCATTGCCGTTTCGATTTCTTGCTATTACAGCTGTGTATCTGGTTGATGCTGCGAATTTTGCAGCAGCTTGTGCTGCGCTGGCACTGTTTAGTGCCGTGGCTGGTGGTATTTGCAGTGGTCTTGATTTCTTTTTCGTGCTTCTTCTGGGTGCCCTACTGCAGGCCTTGCGGTTGTCCGAGACAGAAGAGAAGGAGCTTCTGGCCATAGCGCAGCAGCAGCAGAAATTGTTACCCGGCATGCAGCGTGGCCGTTGGCTACAGGCCTGGGTGGAGCCCTTTGCTGCTGGTCCTGCCCAGCAGGTGCGCTTGTGTCTTTGTTCTCACCTTAATCTCCCTTTGCCCTTCTTCCAAGCTTCGCTGCTTTCTTGTCCGCGTCTCTCGTGACACCTCTATGCAATTCCCCGTCTCTTTTTCTCCCCGTGCGTGCTCGTCCGTTTCTGTCCGTTCGACTCTCTCTCCCCCTTCTGCCTACTCTCTTTTCCCCCAAACAGTTTCCGTTTCTCGTGTACATGCCTGCGTTTGTAGTTTTGCTGGGCTGTTTCTCTTCGTTTCCGTCTTGTCTGCTGTTCGTTTCTGTCTCTACTTGTGGCTGGAGCCGTTCTCTCAATATTGCTCCCATCGTGCCCTTTCTGTGCGTTTCCGTACTTCTTCCTTACAGTATTAGTGCATGTTTCGTTCACTTTTGTCCGCCATTCCCCTACTTCTTGTTCCTCTTGGCGGGCTCGACGTTGTACTGTTGGTTCGGCGTCGCTACGGCTGCTTCAGGATGGAACAGCGGCAGCAGCGGCAGCTGTGTTGCCTCTGTCTGTTCCGGGAGGGCTCTACACTCTAGGAGTTTCTGCTTCGCGCCCCGCCTTCCGTCCTTCTGCTGCTGCTGTTCCTGTTGCTGCTGCTGCAGCATCTTCATCGCAGGAGCGCCTCACCGCAGCAGCAACAACAGAAGCTGCAGCCACAGCTGCAGCTGCCGCTGCAGATCCTGCAACCGTTTCAACAGGAGCTGTTGAAGTGGTGGAGGTTGTAGCTGAGGCCTACAAAAGGGTGGCGGAGTCATCTGTCCCCTCAAGGCGCATTAGAATCCCTACGGGCGCATTTAGGCCGGTCAGTCGGACATTACATTTATCAAGTTAAATGCGCGTTTCTGCACCAAGGTGTATGACGTCCTTTGACAGCTTATGTAGTCGTCGTGCTGACCCCACGCTGCTCAGGCGCGGCGCTGCATTTGCCTCGCCGCTGTGTGCATACGACCCCATATCTGATGCTTTTGCTGCGGCTGTTGAAGACCAACGATGTGCTCTTCTTGGTGCCGTGCTGTGTTGCAGCGGGGAGACCTGCAGAAAGGCCAGAAACCCGTTTGTCTTCGCTTTGCTTCTGCTGCGGTCACTGCTATTCGTAGTGCACCAGCAGCCAAAGACCGCCGGCGGCAACAACAGCAGCAGCATGTGACGGCAACGGCAACAGCAGTAGCAGGAGAAGAGGAGCCAACAGAGCTGCAGCAAAAAAAGACCAGTTTGCTTCAATTTCTCTGCCTCCTGGAGCAACAGATATTTCTTTGGTGCAGTAGCACTTCTCTCGAACACTACTCCTTAGCCTGCGACCCTGCGGCCCTCCAGGCGGCTGCTGCTGCTGCTGGTCGTAGCAGAAGCGCAGCAGTATCGGCAGCATCTGATGGACATGTGCCCTTTTGGGAATACATGCTGGAAATTAAGCCGCCCGAAATGCCTCTGGAAGAATTTGTAGTGTAAGGAAAACATACGCAGACATCACACAGCAATGGCAGCGCAGCAGAATTGACAAGCAAGCAATAGCAGCTGCATCAGCAAAGCACGAGCTGCACAGTAAGGGCGACCGCCACCAGGACGACAGCAGAAGATGCAGTAGCTACGTACGTTTGCTTGCAGCCTGCGCTTCTTAGCGCTTCTGTTTGGTTCCTCTGTCTGCCTTTTGTTCAGCTGGTGCCAGAGGCCTGTTGGCATGCCAGTTGAAGATTATCTGCAGTGGGCCTGCATCATACTCCCATCTTTCCCCTTCCATTGACCCAAGTTCTTGTTTCGCGTGTCAGTTGAATGGGTCTTTTTTGTTCGCTTTCCTGTTTTCCTCGTTGGGACTGCCTGTTTTTCCTGCCCTTTTTCGAATACGTGCATCGGCTACGTCGTTTGTTTGCTCGTTCGTACCGTTCGCTCATGGAGTTACGATGGGGAAAAAGCGTCACGGCGCTGGCGCCG